GGGGGTGGGGGCGGGGGCGAGGCGTGCGCCGTGTGTGTGTTTGTGTGTGTGAGAGAGTACGCACGGTGTGCGGGGAGAGCGGCCGGGCGCCACATGAGTCCGAGTCATGCAGACAGCGCCCTGTGTGGTCCGATGCGCAGCTCAGGTGGATGGCTGGCGGCTGGCGGTCAGGGCGGGTGGCCAGAGTTTCGAGCCGGGCAGGGCTGAAACCTCTGGCGTGCCTGGAAGCACCTCGCACGGCAGCAGGGCGCCCGCACATGCGCACCCACATGCGCACCCACACCCCTCCCCCCTTGCGCCTGCACAGGCCCTCGAGCGCGCCAAGGCGGCCAGCTCCAAGATGCAGCCCGCGGACGGCGCCGCCCACACCGACTGAAGACCCCCCGCGCTGAAGCAGCCACTGCGCAGCGGAGTAGGCCCTGCCTTTGCGGGAGCGTCGCGCTTCGTTCCGGGGCCATCGTGCTGGGGTTTCATTGCCAGCGGTTGGGCGCCCCGCGCGCCTTGCCAGTATTCCTGTGCCCTGGGGGCCTGTCTGCGCGTGGGTGGTGTGCCAAGGCGTCTGGGCAGCTCCAGATGCTCCGCAGGATCAGCTGCCTGCAGCCACGCGGGCGTGTGCCGCCCTGCTCTGCTCCCGCGCCGCCGGCGGCACGGCTGCTGCCTACTACCGCGTGGCGAGCGGGTCCGCGCCGTGGCGCTGCGGGTTGCCGTAGCTGTGTGGGCGAGAACCCGACCCCCGATCGTATGACCTGTGTAGTGAAATCAATGGTAGCCTGAGGGCATTTACATCTATGAAACCCATCTTCTATGTAAATCATTCTGGATTTGCACAAACATTTACGCCCACCAGGCAGCTGCGTACGCACAGGCGCTTGGGGGCCGCACGCATACACGCAACAGTGAGTCTTGAGTTATGCATCGTTGTGTGGCAACGGCAAGATTCATTCAGGCTGCCACTCCGCTTGCACGTGTGGCAAGGCAAACCAACAGCTGTGTCTGCGCCTGGTGCCTATGGACACAAGTTTGGGGCGACTTGGAAGCGAGTAAAGCAAGCACACGGCACCTGTGCAACGCCGTCCCGCACTCGCTGGACGGCAGCCGGAAGGCCGCCGGCCGGTCGTGGGCAGTCTACAGACAAAGCTAGCTGAGCGGGCACGAGGGGCGCGCGGAAAACTTTGGATCTATTCATCTGCGGATGGGCGGCGCCCAGAGTGTGCCCCAAAAGCCCAGGTTCTCACAAAGCACGGAAAGTGGCGTGGGGCAAGGTTACCCCATGCCGCATGTCAAGAGGGCAGGCGGGCCTCTGGGGGTGCGTTCCGAGGTTCCTAGGGCGCAGCTAGGCCTGGATAATGCAGAGCAGTGCAGCAAACATGGTGTGAGCAACGGCCGGCGCAGCGCCGCCTGCGCATCAGCCGCAGGGGCTCTGTCAGCGCGGGAGGAGAGAGGCCATTGTGGGCCTTGGGTATTATGAACACGAGTGCGGTCCTTGAGCGGTGAGATGGCCAACAGCCTTAGTAAAAGCCACAAAACACAGATCGCAGCGCCGGGCGTGGGTGCCCGCGCGCGAGGCAACCGGCCCAAGGGGGGTTCGGCATCGAGCGCCCCCGGCTGCCTCAAACTTGATCCGCGCCCTTCGCCACCACGACTGTGGGAACCTGCCGCTGCGGCGCCGCAGGCGTCGCCGCCCGCGCCGCCCGCCCCCGCCCGTTCGCGCCCCGCGCCGCGCCTCCGCCGCACGCGCCGAACAACGATTTGCGCAGGAAGCCCGTTACGTCGCTCCACAGCAGCCGCTCGTTCGGGCTCTTGCCGACTGTGACGAGCATCAGCCGCCGCCCCTCGATGCCGAAGGCCAGCAAAAACATCGCCACAAGCAGCAGGTTCAGGGCCGCGGCGATGCCCAGCGCCGCGAGCACGACCTTCGGGTCCGCAACCTCCTGCAGGTTCGACAGCATCAGCATGAACAGCGTGCACTGCAGCACGAACAGGCTCGACCGCTGCAGCGTGTGCAGCATCGCGCAGCCGCTGGGGCGGAAGGTGATCTGCAGGACCGTGGCGAGGGAGATGATGATGAGGGCCACGAGGACCTGGACGGTCGCGTTGTAGCGCTGCAGCAGCGTGATGGCGATGACCATGAGCAGCTTCTCGACCAGCACGACCGACTCCCAGAAGTAGTACTTGGGGTCGTATGAGTCGTAGAAGAAGCCGTAGCGCAGGTCGACCTGCAGGTGTGTGTGTGTGTGTGTGTGTGTGTGTGTGTGTGTATGTGCGCGCGCGCACGCGTGCTGTGGCGGCACAGGCATGAGCAGGGTCTTGAGGGCGCGTGGCCACTGGACGTGAAGAACACAGGCGGCGCATTCGCAATACAGCAGGGCTCAGGATGATGGCGCGGCGACACTGGCTGCGAGGCGCCGCACCCGGCAGCCTGGTGCAGCGCAGCAAGGCGCAGCAACGCACAGCCCAGCCCAGCCCAGCCCAGCCCAGCACAGCACAGCACAGCACAGCGCGGCGCGCCGCTGCGCAACCCAGCCACCACGGCCCCTACAGCACACACAGCGCACAACGCAGCGTGAACAGGGCGCGCAACGCGCCAGCGGCGGCGCGGCCCCGGCCACCCACCATGCACTCCTCGAGCGCCCGCCGGTTGAGGTACAGCACCACGACCATCGCCACGGGGAACCCGATGCAGAACCCGACGACCCACACGATCCCCAGCCCGAACAGCCAGGTGTGCGCGCCCGTCAGGCAGACGTAGGCGGTGTCCTGGTTCCAGTAGCCGTTGGTCGCGTTAGCCACGAGCGCGTCGCCCAGGAGCGTGAGCTGCGTGACGCCGCTGGTGGTAGACTTTACAAAGTCAGTGCGCACGGACGCGCTGGCGTCGAGCTGGGTGCAGGCGAAGATGGACACCACGGCGTTGGAGACCTGGAGGGCAGGGGCGGGGGTGGAAAGGGGAGGAGATATTGGGAGAGGGGCATGCGGCGCATGGTGTTTGGAATTGTCAGTGGCCAATGTTGGGGTTGCAAGTTTTTATCACTCCTTTCAGTTCTTTTCAGAGCTGAAAATGGCCAAGTTTGGAAGCTTATCAGGCTTTCAGTAAGAGGAACAAGTCAAGGGAGGTGTGAGGCAGGCGGACAGGCTTAATTAGTAATGGGAGGGGTGTCCTCGGCGCCGCGGGCGTGCTGCAGTGCCAAAGGGCGCATCGGAATGCAGTACACGACCGTGTAGAGGCGCCGCGGGGCAGGTTTGGTGAGGCACCAAGGGCCTCACCTGCGGGTACAGGTAGAACATAACCAGCACGGTGGTCAGGATGATGCGCGGCTGGTAGTGGGTCCGCCATGTCAGCCGCTGCAGCTCGGGGCGTCGGCGCCTGAGCATGTGAACGCCCAGCGCATAGAGGCCCCAGAAGAGCATGCCCACCAGGGTGCCCACGACTGCGGTTGAGTTTAGGGGGTTTTGCGGTGGTGGGGTTGACAGGCGGCAGGCCAGGATTAGATTGGGGACCAGCATCGGAGGACCGCGGCGACGAGAATGGGAGCAGAAGCAGGCACAGGATAAGGGGGCCCATGCAGGGCCCAGCCGTGTCTCAAGCACAGGTCCTTGCCAGCGCATGCAGCCGCCCCCACGCGCGACCCAAGGCCCGCCCGGCTCACTCGGCATGAGCAGCAGCCCGAGCGTCCGCTTGACCGAGCGCCGCACGGCCGCCCCGGGCTCATCCTCGCCGAGGGAGCAGTCGAGGGACACCCAGGACGACACCGTCGACGTCTGGTCGAAGAACGAGAGCCACGCGGCGACGTCCACGCCCTCGGGCCAGTTGATGCGCAGGCCGCGCAGCAGCCCGAGCAGCTGCAGGTGCGTGATGAGCAGCTTCAGGATGTCTGACACCCAAAACCTGTACGGCCGCCGCGCCGCCGCGCGCGCGGCGGCGGCGGCGGCGGCCGCGGCGGCCTTCGGGTCGTCGGCGGCAGCGCTGTTGGGCGCAAACAGCGTAGGGCGCGACTCGCGCATCGTGTCGGCGGAGAAGAGGCTCGAGAGCCAGGTGCGGTTGCCCTTGAGGTCCCCTCCGGTCACAGTCGACGGCAGCGGCCCCAGCCCGTCCTCTGAAGCGACCGGGCCCCACTTGGACTCGCGCGGGCCGCCGCCAGACCCCAGGCTGGCGCGGGCGGCGGACGACGTTTGGAACGGCGTCCCAACCGACGGCTGCGGGCCGGGCGGGAGCTCCGTAGGGCCGTCGTAGAAGCTGTCTTCCTTGTCGCCGCCGCGCCCGCCGACGTCGTCATCATCGCGCTCAACCGGCGGGCCGTTGGCGCCGCCGCCCTCGCCATTGTATGGGCCCTTGCCGGGGCCCGAGATGGTGGCGGCGGCCGTGGCCGAGCCGGCGGCGAAGGCGAGCTCGTCGGTGACCGTCACGGCACGCTGGCGCTTCTGGGCCTGGCGGATGTGCATGAAGCCGGCTATGGTGACGAGGACGATCATGTAGAGCATCGCGAAGAAGTAGTAGGTGTCGTTGATCCAGCGGCGGCGCTCGCACTGCACGCAGCGGTAGCCGCGGCGGCCCCAGCCGCGCGAGCACTCGCCACAGAGGATGCCCTGGTGTGTGCGTGTTTGTGTGTGTTTGTGATTGTGCGTATTTGTGTGTAAGCAAGAATGTGTGTGCGGTTGAGTGTGTGTGTGTGTGAGAGAGAGAGTGTGTTGGTGTGTGTGTGTGTGTGTGTTTGTGTGTGTGTGTGTGTGTGTGTGTGTGCACGCGCGAGTGTGTGTGTGAGAAAGAGAGAGTGTTTTTGTTTATGTGTGTGTGAGTGTGTGTGTGTGTGTGTGTGTGTGCGCTCGCGCCCACATGAGGGTTGTGCATGCGCGCGCAACAGGGGAGTGGTTTTAGGGTGGAGGAGGCGCGTCGGAGGAGGGTGCTAGGAGGGGTAAAGAGGAGGGCCAAAGGGGCGCGAAGCTGCAATGCAGCGCGGCGAGGGGCAAGATGCAGGGAGGTCTGCGATCGCGCCAGCCCCTCTCACAACTCAGACTGCAACTGTGGCACCAACCCAGCCTGTTCCCTGGCCAGCTCGCTTGCGCACTCTCCTCGGCATGTCCCCACCACTTCTGCCCCCCCTGCTGCCGCAGCCCGCCTCTGCTGCTGCTTGCATCCCCCAAGCTGACGCAAGCACACATCCGTGCGCGTATACACATACACACACACACACACACACACGCGCGCGCACGTGCACGCGCAAGCATGCATCCACACACTAGCATGCCCACGGACACATGCCAGCAAACCAACACACGCGCACAAACTCCCACACACGCAACATCAACATAAACACGCTCCCACCTGGTACCCAGGAGAGCACTGCATGTTCGTGTACTCCTCGTACAGCGGCATCGTCCCGCCCGCCCTCTCGCCGACCACGAGCGCCCCCAGCTCCGGAACGGTCTTGTTCCTATACCTCAGGGCCCACTGGTACATCGCCTCCGCGCCCGCCCCGCCCGCCGGCGGCCGCGTCGAGTTGAACTTGCTGCACGCCGCGTCAACCAGGCACCGGTGGATGAGCGGGCTGCGCGGGTGGCTGACCCAGAAGCCGCGCACCGGGATCGGCGCGACGCCGCGGCAGTCGGCGTTGCTCGACGGCTCGCACTGGATGCACGAGCCGACGGCGGGGTCGAGGCTATAGGTGCCGGCCGCGCATTGCTCGCACCTGGAGAATGGGGATTAGGGGGAAGATTGTGACACAATCCCGCGCCCGCCCACTTCTAGAGCCGTCCAGGCTCATGAAATTCGACTTTGAGGCATCCGCGTTGTGTGACTGCGACTCAAGCGGCCGACCTGCGCCGACCAAAGCAGGCGTGCACACTCGTACAGTCCACGCCCGCGCACCTGAAGTTCACGCCCGCGTCGCGCCAGGGCTTGTCCGCGTCGGAGCGCGCGTTGACATCCACGCCGGCCTCGCCCGTCACGCATGTGCGGAGGGTCAGGCTGAGGTTTGCGGGCTGCAGCACGCGGTTGTTGGGGTCGAGCGGGGCAAACTGCAGCAGGTAGTCGCCCGGCGTGCCGAAGACCTGGAGGGACGGGAACTCAAGCCGGCCGTTAGACGCGCGGGTGATGTTGCCGAGGCGCGTGATGTTCTGGGCGGGCTGCCAGGTGCCGTTGGCGGAGGCGCGCATCAGGGTCGCCTAAAGGAGTTGGGGGAGGTGTTTTGGGGCGTGCTTGAAGGCGAGGCTTGACGGCGGGCGAACGATCTTCACGTGCGTCTCGGCAAAGCCGCAATTGCATGGTAATCGGTGGTGGTGGGGGGGGGCTCAAATGCGACGAACAGTCCATTTCCCAGCTGGCACCCCACCAGCAGCAACCCATCCCAACAGCAGCACGAAGCTGACGCCCAGGTGCAAGCCCACTAGGGGACGGCCCCTGCTCTCATGCGCCGCCGTCCGGCAGCCGCGACCAAACGTGGCCTGGCTGCCGCCAACTCAGCTGCCGCGGCTCGAGCCCCGCCAGTCCCTTGCACCCCAGCAGATGCCGCTGCCCACCTGCAAGATCATGCTCGCGTCGCTGATGTCGCCTTGGACGGTCCGATTCAGCACGTCCCTCAGCCCCATTTCGACCTTCACGAGGTTGCCGGGCGCCGCCGACGTGCTGGACGCCACCGGCGCCTCGGACTCCAGGTCTACCCCGTTGACCTTCATAAAGTGCGCCGTCGTCGCGGCGGACGCGAGGTCCTGCCCGTAGCCGACGTCGCTGACTGCGTTGAGCGCCGGCGGCGGCGGCGCCGCCGCGTCCGCGAGCAGCGCGCGCCGGCCCGTCGATGTGCCAGCGTCGCCGCCGCCGCCGCTGGCGGCCCTCGGCTGGGGCTGAGGCCGGAGCCGGGCGCCGCCGAGGCAGTCGCGGAAGGCGGCCTCGTTGTTGAGGCTGCCGCATGCGGGCAGCTCAACCAGGCCGCGCGCGAGCTTGGTGATCAGCAGGCCGCCGCCGGCGCCGTCGCCGGCGTCGTTTGACTTCAGCAGGTTGTCCTTCCCGAGCAGCCAGAGGGTGCAGCCGGGGGCGCCCGGCTGGCATAGGTCCGTGCGCGCGATCATGCCGCCTGATTGAAGGAGGGCGCGCCAGGGGCGGGAGTGCGGCGTGAAGGGTTGGTGTGTGAGAGGAGCTTGCACGCGCATGCATTTATGCGTGCGTGCGTGCGTGCGTGTGTGTGTGTGTGTGTGTGTGTGTGTGCGCACGCGCGAACGCGCGCTTAGAGCGCGAAAGCAGCTCATCTGCACAGAACACCCCCTCCGCACCGCACTCCCAAACCCAACCCCTACGCCCCCCCAACGCACGGATCCTCGCTTTTTGTCAAGCTGCCACCGGCCCTCACCTCCGCTGAGGGCCCTGTTGTTGATGAAATGTGTGTTGGTCATGTTAACAGGGCCGAGGGTGGACACATAAAGGCCGCCGCCGCCGCCGTACTGGCCGTCGTCGCCAACAGGGTTTGTGACATCAACGGTGGTCGCCCACGCGCCGAGCATGAAGCCCGCGTTCGCACAGTCCCCGCTCGCGCCGCACTGCAGCGGGCGCCCGGCCGCGGCGCCGGGCGAGCCGGGGGCCGCCGCCGCAGCGAGCAGGCGGCGGCGGGTGGGTGGCGGGGCAGGGCCGCCAGCGGTGTTGCTCGTGAACTGGGAGTCGACGACCGCTGCGCCGGTGAACGGCTGCACGACCGCGCCGCCGCCGCCGTACTTGCCGGCCCTGTTGTTGACGAAGGTGCAGTTGACCACGCTGGCGTTGTTGCAGCGGTAGCAAAAGAAGCCGCCGCCGACGGCGTTGCTGCCTCCCGCCTTGCCGCTTGCCGGCGCCGCCGACCCACTCCACGGCAGGTCGGAGGAGTAGCCGAAGAACGGCACCGACGCGTTGGCGACGTTGTCCTCAAATGAGACGCCGTCGAGCTCCAGCATGCTGCTCTCCCCGGCGAGCAGGCCGCCGCCGGCGACGGCGGCGGTGTTGGCGGTGAACGCGCTGCCGTCGACGACGCTGACAGTCCCGCGGTCGGCGCCGAAGCTGATGGCGCCGCCCTGGCCGGCATAGTTGCCGTCAAAGGACGACGCGGCGACGGAGAGCGCCGCGACGGACCCCAGCACGCGCAGCGCGCCGCCCTCCGACGCGGGCTCGCCTGGCGCGCCGGCGGCGTTGCCGCTCGCGTTGCAGCCGACGAGGGACAGGTCAACCTTGTCGTCCTGCGACAGCATGATTGCGTGCACGCCGCCGCCGCTGCGCGCGGCAAAGTTGCCGGCCAGGGTGGTGTTGGCCAGCAGCACCTGGCTGCTCCACGTCCCGAGGTACACGGCGCCGCCGTCGCCGCTGCGGCCGCGCGGCGGCAGCGTGCCGTTTGCGCTGTTGTCAGCGAGGCGCGAGTTTGTGACGTTGATCACCCTGAACGCGACCTCGGACACATATGCGCCGCCGCCGTCGCCGGCCGCGGTGTTGTTGACAAGGCTGAGCCGGTCCCACGCCATCGCGCTGTTCGAGCACAGCGGCGCGCGGCTGAGCAGGCCGCCGCCGCGCTCTGCGGCGGCGTTGCCGGTAAAGTTCGTGTTGACGATGGACTCGAGGCACCCGTCGCGGGCGGCGTGCGCGCCGGCGCCCTCCGCGGCGGCGTTCGTGACGAAGCTGCTGTTCACGATATACGCAAACATCCTGTTGCCGATGTAGACGCCGCCGCCGGCCTGGGTCGCGTTGTTGAGGGCAAAGATGCACCCCGTGATGTGCACCTCGCCCGTCGGCGGGACGACCGTGCCGGTCCCGCCGGTCGTGTACAGCGCAGAGGGCGGCTGGACAAATAGGGAGTAGATGCCTGCGCCGTCGGCAGCTGTGTTGCGGCTGAAGTTGCAGCCGTCCGCGAAGAGCTTGACGCCCGTGAAGTTCACGGCGGACCCGTTGTTGCGCGACAGCTCCGACGTGGTCAGGTTGAGCAGCGACCCGGGGGCCGCGAACACCGCGCCGTACCCGCCCGCCTGCGCGCCGCGGCCGTTGCGCGTCACAGCCGCGCGGACGAGCGAGGCGGCGGTGCCATTGTCCATGCGCAGCGCGACGCCGGGGTTGGCGGTGAGGGTGACGTCCTGTAGGATCACAGGGTCGTCCTCGGGGTAGCGGGTGGAGGGGCTGGAGGGGTCTGGCAGTAGGTGCACCGCGCTGGCGTTGCAGCCGGTGACCGTGAGCTCGCGCAGCACGGCGCCGGCCGACCTGGGTTGTGGTTGGGTTGTGGTTGGGGGATGGGGAGATGGGTCAGTGGGGGGTTTGTGGGGGATGTGTGGGTGGATGGGTGTGTGGCTGGCTGGGTGGCTAGTTGGGCAGATGGTGGGGCCCGCAGATGGGTAAATGGTGGGTGGCTGAATGGGCGGTGGGTTGGGGTGAATGGTTGAGTGGGGTGCGGGCATGGGTTGGTGGGCAGTATAGGGTGGGGTGGTCAAAGGTCGGTGTGGATGGGTGCTTGTGTGTGTGGAAGGCTTGGGTAAGGATGCTGCCATACTAAGGACCAGGGTATTTGAGGCGATCTGCCAACTGGCAGGCCTCGCAAATGTGAAAAGTCGACTGCCGCACCATGAACTAAGGTGCCATTTCAGCAAACCCTCGCGGCAACTCACATGATGCGGAATGCGGTGCCCGTTGTCTTGCCGCACCGCAGCACCACAGTGTCACTGGGCGCGCCCGCCGCCGCCAGCCGGCGCCCGCCGACGACGGCCGCGCCCGCGTTGGCGGCCGCCTTGGGGCTGCCGGTGACAATGATGTCACCTGAGAGGGGCGCAGCAGCGTAGTGAGGGGCGCTGATGATGTCATCATTGGCTTTGGGTGGGCGTGCCGCCAAGGGCAGTAGGTACTTGAGGCACTCGAGCTTGCGCGCGCCGCTTCACGCAGGAACAAGCATGCTAGGGCAAAAGGGCCGCGAAAGCAAGTCTTCCTCGCCACTTTGATTTATCAATAGCCAGTTGGTCGGGTTGGTTGGTTGGTTGGTTGGCTGGTAGGCCTTTCTTCGGTGAAATATCCTGACAACAAACCCTGGCGGCCGTGCCCCCTTCACCCGCAATGGTCAGCGGCGCAGTGAGCTCCAGCACGCCCTTCTCCGGCGAGAGCATCACCCAGTCGCCCGCCGTGAGATCTGCCGTCTTGGCGGCCCAGTCCGACGCGATGTCCGTGCTCGCGCCCGACAGCACGACGCTCTGGAAAGCGGGGGCGAACTTGATTTCCTGTTGGGGGTCGGCGGAGGTAAGAAGCCGCAGCGGTTGGTGGGGCGAGGGCAGGGAGCGGCGTTTAGGCTAGGGCCAGAGGAGTCCACCACGGTGGCGGTCGACGTTATTGACTGATTTCGCATGCAGCAAGGGCCGAGCTCCTGAGCTCAACTCCGAAGTGCGGTGCCCGCACGCGCTGGCGCCCTTCCCGCGGCGCGACGCACCTTTTCGTGCTGTAGCGCCATCTGGCCGGCGATGGGGACGATCGCCGTGTTGGGGAACTCCGTCTGCAGCGCACTGCCACGGTTTTGGTTCTGGACGGGCGCGGAGCGCCACGTTGCGAGCCCGCCGGACTCTGGGAACTCGAGGGCGTACACGTTTGAATCCAGGCCCCAAGTGTCAGTGGTCGCGTTCATCACGCGGCCGCCGTACAGCAGCACGCTGCGCCCGTCGACGGCCATCGCGTGCCACATCATCGCCGGCGGCGGCGCGCCGGCGGTGCGGAGGGGCGCCCAGGAGACAGCGGCGACGTCGTAGAGCCAGGTGTCCCCCAGCAGCGGCGACTTCGTCATGTTGTTGACATTGAACAGCTCGGGGTCGTTGCCGCTGCTGCCGCCGAACAACAGAAGCGAGCCCGCCTTGGTCTTGGTCACCGCTGGCGGCAGGAAAACCATGCCCGCGCCGAAGCGCACGCCCGGCCACGCCTGTGCATCCGGCGCCTCGTCCGCGCCGGCGGCGGGCTTGGCGGGCGGCTTGGATGATGAGGCGGTGAGGCTGAGCGCTCCAGCGCCACCCTTGAGGGCGATGGCGCTCAGGTCGGCGGTGGGCGCCCACTTGGTCGCATCCTTGTTGCCCACATCCTCCAGGCCTCCAAACACCCACGCCCGCCCGTCCGGCGCGCACGCCATCGCAGCCTGCGCGCGTCGCGGCAAGCTGGCGGTGCCGGCGACTGGGCCAAACGAGGCGGCAGCGCTGGCCTTGGAGGGGACCGGCATGGCAGAGACGTCGTTCAGGACGGTGCGCTTCGGGATGCCCCAACCGATGGCGCCGCCATACTCGATGTACACCTGGGCGCCACCCGCTGGCCGGGTGACGCACGCGGCGACGTACTGTGGGTAGTTGTAGCCCTTGGGGGGCTTGGCCGTGAACTGAGTGATTGCCCGAGTGGACGCATCGATGAAGGCGCCCTGCAGGGGCTCTGAGGGTGAAGAAAGGGGGACATGATGGTGGAGGGCGTTTATGGGGTGAGCTCACATTGCTGCGTTGCTGTCCCTACGTTTCATTTCCTTGCGTGATCTAAATCATCAGGCGTTTCATGCAAGCCTGCCCTGTGGTACCAACACACGAGCTGCAAGCAAAGTCGCGGCAGCATACACCCCCCATTGCGGTGCTCACCACCGTCTGCATAACTTGGGAAGTACCCCAGGGCCAACAAGAACCGCGGCGACACCAGCATCAGCTGCTTGCCGCCACCGGGGGCGTCGACGCCGTGCAGCCCGCGCATGCCTTTGGTCTGGAAGTTGGCATCCTGAATCATGGTCACCCACTCCACTGAGCTGGCGGTCGCGCACCAAGTATTGGCGCCCGTGGCCTTAAACGTGGCGGGCTTGCCCTTTAGCAGGCGGATGGTCATGATGAAGGGCGCCCACTTCTTCTGGCTGTCCGCGGTCTCGCCCGTAGTCACGCACTCGTCGCTTGGCTTGGACTGTGGAGGAGTAAGAGAAGGCTTGATGTTGTCTGTCAAGCAGGCGCTCCTGAATGTTCTGGGTGCATAGTCTTCAAGATTGGTAAAGGTTCAGCGCAACGCATGCACCATGATCGCAGTGCCAACATGTGAGGCGCACACGGGTGCTCCTGCTCCCCGAATGCCGCCCGCGCGGTGCTCACGGTGCCACGCAGGATGAGGCCGCCGGGGATCTCGTTGATCGCGACGTTGCGGCTGTCCAGATCAGTGACCAATTCGACATCCCCAACGTACGGCATGGCTGCGACCAGGCCCGACGCGACCTCCGCCGCAGAGACGGTGATGCTGCCCAGCAGCGGCAGGTCGATGCTGCGCAGCTGGGCCAGCTTCAACTTCGGCGGCACGGCGATGAAGACGTTGAGCGGCGTGTGGATGATCTTCGGGTCCTCCTTTTCCCCAGCAAGATCCAGGGCAAAGCGTGTGAGCACCTGCACGCGTTGTAGTCCCTTGCGTCTGCCCAGGGGGGACGTGAGCGCGGCGAGAGGCACATCAGGGTTGTCCATTGCATAAGGTTTGAGGGGGTACTGCAAACAAGACGGGCGCAATCGCAGCAGATAGGACAGGCGCTTGGGCCCAAACGGCTCACCCCTCAAAGGTGGCATTGGTGTTGCTCCAAAGGTACAGGTGGAGCCCCTCGGCGGTGTTAGTCAGGATCGACGAGAGGATCGTGCCCCCCTCGCCGGCGTTTAGCTGCTTCAGGCCATTGGGCTTGATGCCGACACCGAGGGGGGCCCCCTCAAGAGTTGTGGTGTCGAGCACTGCGAGGAGGACCGGGCAAAGGCAGAAAGGTCTCTCTATGGGGCTGCAGGCGCACGCAGCAAGGCAGTGCATGCGTGCCTGTAGACATCATCTGAGCAACCACCAGCGTGCCCTTGTGTTGCGTTGCTCACAAATTGCAACGACTGCTGGAATGCTGCCATCGGGGGGGTTGAGCTGCTCGGAACGCGCTATGCTGCGCCCGCTCTGCCAAACTAGCAGCTTCGTTGCGTCGCTGTCCAAAGCAGTGCCGGCGACGACAGGGAGCTGCAAAAAGAAAATACTGGGGACCTGCAAAGGCGAGGCAGGGACGGGGGGCAAGCAGCGGGACTCGGATCAGCTAATAACCAAGGCGCGCCCAGGAGACCACCAGGTTGCAGGCCCGGCCAGCCCACACAACCATCTGCTGTAAGCAGCCTTTGCAACTCTGCTTGAGGCGGCGCTCACCGGCCTATGTGCATGCCAGCCTGCGCGAGCGCGCGCACACACGCACGCACGCGCACTCCCGCGTGCGCGCGCGCGCGCACGCACACACACACACACACACACACACACACACACACGCAAACACACACACACACACACATGCGCGCACACACACACGCACGCACATACGAATAGCGGACAGCCTCACCAACAGGCCCGAGCCCAGCAAGTCCTTGGTCTTGCGTGTCTCTGTGAGGTTGTAGGCATACAAACGCCGTCCCATTTGATCAATTGACCGCCTGGTGCCGTTCTCGTATTGCCCGCCAAAGTCCTCGACAGCCATGTACAGCATATTACCATAGACCTGGGCCCAGTTCCAGATCAGCTCGGCTGCGAATGTTCGTGAGTGTGCGGACAGATCTGAGTTGATAACTTGCATATGAGTTGTGTGCGTGTGTATGGGTGTGTGAACTAGGGTGACAAGGGGGTTTAACAACCAGGAGTCATCACCTCCGGCACGCCAGGGCAAGCAGCCCATGGGGGCAAGCGCGGCGCTTCTTAGCAGCTGCAGAGCCTCATCTGCACAATGGACATGAACAGCTCCTTACTTAGCAGCCGCAACCTTCCAAGAGGCTCACCGCCGTTGCCCTGCCAGAACGAGCGCTTGAGCTGCCATTCGCGAGATGCCAGGTCAAGTGTCACCATCGTCATTGTTTTTACGCTGGCGCCGTTGCGGTCGTCAAACTGGCCGCCCACCATGACGATCCTGTCATCGCCCCAGGGCGCGAGCTGCTGCCGGTACCGGCTTGTGTTCAGCTGGGCGTCCGGCACCGTCTGCAGAGTGCGCGGCGCGAGGGTGTTGATATCGACGGCCTCGAGGTAGCTGCCACTGAGGGGGTACGTGGGGGCGTTCGCGTCGAGGCCACCGCTGTAGTAGGCCGTGTTGTTGATCACAGCGGCCCCGAAAATGAAGCGGGCCTTCAGGGAGCAGAGCGGGTCCTGAAAGTCGCAGGCGACTTTTGGGGTGAGCGCCTGCGCACAGCCGGCCTGCGGTGCAGCGAGGGCGAGGGCGGGGAGCGCTAGGTGACGAGCGGACAACGAGAAGCGTGTGACAGGCACGCGCGGACCTCGCCTTGTCGCGGAGGGGCCCTGATCGAACAGGCGGGCTGGGGCACCAGCAGCGCGCATGGCACGACAGGTGTGGCGGCAGCCTGTTGCTGGCCAGAGGGTGCCCTGCAGCGGCAATGCCGCTCTCCCTGCCACCTACCACTGCACATAGTAAGAGCACTAAGACCAGAGGGGAGCGCCCAAGGGGGCCCCCCATGGCCGCTTTGCTTGCGTTCGCCGCGAGCCCTTCGGAATGGCCACCACGAGTGGTAACCGGTGTCACAAGATGCGTAAGACGCCCCGAATTTGAAATTTTGGTGTGGTCCACGGGCCAGCACGCGAGCTCTACGAGTGTCACTCCACTAGACCACAGTGTCTCAGTGTTTCAGGCGGCTTCTGTGGGGTGACAACGGTCATGCACGAAAAACAACGTAGCTTACTGGTGGAGCATCCGCCTTGTGCTCCTGCCGGGAAACCTTGCCCCACGCTAGGTGGAAGCGACCCGATTGTGTGAGGCAGGCACGCTGTGCAATTCGTGGAAGCGATCACTCTCTTTTTCGGTGCTTCAGGGCGATAGCCGGCCACCGGGCCGGTCTGCTGGGCGGCACGCTCGCAGCGCGCCACTGCATCTGGACCACCGTTGACCGCCTGGGCGCGCGCAGCACGTGTAAGCGCGCATCGCGTCTAGCCATGGAGAGGCCCGGTTCGCGGGGCTCCCTGGCGCTGGCTGCTGCGGGCATCTCCAAGGCGCCCACGGGGTCGCCGATCGAGCGCCCGGAGCGTCCCAACACAGCCAACGCCAACAGCAGGCTCACCACCGGGCAGCCGCAGCAGCAGGCAGCAGCAAGCGGCGGCGCTCGCGGCGGCACGGCCCAGCCTCCAGGAACAGCGATGAAGCACGGGGGCGTGCTGGGTGGTGCGGCGGCGATCGTCCGGGGCACGCCGGCGCCGAGCGCCCGCCCGCTGACACAGCAAGGCGTCGGCGGCTTGGCCAAGCCTGGGACCTCCGCGGGCGGCAGGCAGGTGGGCAAGCAGCTCTCCAAGGCCCCGCCTAATTTTGAGCTGGTGTGTGTCGCTTGCCTTGGCGCCTTGCTCGCACCGCTGGGGGAACCGGCAGAACCAAACCTGATTTGCGGGCTGCTGCGTCATGATGAGGCGCGCCCAGGTGCTCGACCGCAACTACTTTCTGAGCCAGCTGCGGCAGAAGCGGCAGGAGATCATCAATGCAACGCACGAGCTGCAGGTGTGGCGCGCACGCGCACACGTGCGGCAGGCCACTATCAACAGCGTGTGCGGGCTGGGCACGGACGCGCCCTGCGGCGTTGCCCTCGCGGCACCGGCAGTCCCGGCGGCGCTGACGGCGAGTGAAGCGCGAGCAACCTTCGCTGCTCTCACATCTGCGCGTACTGAGATCCTGGGACGCCTGCATGCCATGCGGTGCGCGCGCATGGCCTCTACAACCATGCTTTCTGCCGCAGGAAGAGGTCGAGGAGCTGCAGCAGCACCAGGCAGCGGCGGCGCGCGCGAACAAGCGGGCCGGGGAGCTACAGGCGCAGGTCCGCGCGCTGCAGGAGTCGCTGGCGGATGCAAACATCGTTCTGGACAAGGTATGGTTTATGGCTTTGGTTTACCCAATCTTGTAATTTCCTGATTGAAGGGTTGGCTTGTGGTTGTTTGTTTGTGTGGGTGCCGCGATGTATGAGGGTCTTGCTGGCCAGCTGTCTGGGAGTGCGGGTGAGGGGCAAGCAATGGGCGGGCCGGCTGGTGAGTGGTTGTTGCCTGGCTGGCTGGCAGTCGCTGCGGGGGAAGGCGGATGAAGGGAGGGGCGCTCCTGCAGACAATCTTTTTCAGTCAGCAGCTGCCAATTCACATGACCTGTGTGCAAGCGTGCATGCAATGGATACATCGCCGCCAAGCGGCACAGGCGTCGTGTCACGAGTCGCGGTTGTAGGTGGAGGGAACCTCATGACCATGCCCTCCCGCACTTGTCGCGATGCGCAGGCGGGGTTGCATGCGCCACTTGACTCGATAGCGGCAGAGCTGGACGCGGCCAAGTCGCGCAACAACGAGCAGCGCGCGCGCGCCGAGGGCATGGCGGCGGATAGGATGGCGCTCGAGGCGGCGGCGCGGCAGGCGGAGGCGCGTGTGGCAGACCTGGAAGCTGCTGCAGAGGCGCGGCTCGCCACGCTGCCGCCAGGGCAGAGGGCTGCATACCAGGTGTGGAGGGGAAGGGCACCAACACGACAACACTCGGCACACAGCTTTCATGGGGGTGCTGCTCGTCTGACTGACGTTGAAACATGCCCCGTTGACAGCTAGGCGGTGCGGAGGTCCGCTTTGATAGGCCATGCACGAATGCGCCCACAAAAATGATGCCACAACCAGCTGGAGCAAGTCTTGCTCACCCGCTCTGCGCTCGCGCACCTGTTCGACACGTCCCCGCGCACGCAGGCGCTGCAGCAGGAGCACGAGGGCTTGCTGGCCGACGCCGCGGCCAGGGAGGCGGCGCTCGCTGAGCTGGATGAGGCGGTGGCGGCGGCGGAGGGGGAGCTGGGGCGCAACCCGGCAAAGCGGCGCACTCTTGAGCTGCAGGTGGGCAGTTGCAACTCCCCCATGCCTTCATGCAGCCATGCGGCCATGCGGCCATGCGGCCATGCGGCCATGCGGCCATGCGGCCATGCGGCCATGCGGCCAAGCGTCATTGCAGCTGCGCGCCCATGCGCAGCCGCAGCTTGCACACGCCTGCAGCAGGGAGACCAGGCGGCGTGCAAAGACAGTAGAGCCAGGGGCTTCAGTGCATGGGCAGCTGCCGGCACTCTGCTGCGGCAGGCGGCTGGCTGGGCCTCAAGGCGACGATGAGTACGTGATCGCAGCGCCGCCTATGCATGGGCGGCCGCCGTTTGCTCTGCCCAAAATTCTTGCCCATTGCCGCGCGCTGCCCGTTGTCTGCGCGCGCCCGCAGGAGGCGGTGCGGCAGCTGCAGCAGCAGCACGCTGACCTGGCGGCTGCAGAGGAGCGCGCAAAGGCGACGCCGGAGGAGCAGAGGGAGGCGCTCATGTCAAAGGCGCGTGGGCGCCAGACACCCCTTTAGACTCTGCATACGCGGCAGATCCCGCTGCTGTGAAGCGCCCGAGAAGGGCACCGCCCACGTGGACGTCGAAGTAGGGTTCAGGACTCGACCCGAAACTGCAAGGCGACGATACCTGATGCCACATCAGCCAACCAGCTGAATCACGCCGCCAAACACATGACCTACATGATGTTCTGGTGTGCAGGTGAAGCGCGACAACGCTGAGCTGGAACGGCTTGCCGCCGAGGCCAAGGCGACCCAAGAGGAGGTTAGGGCACTGGAGGCCCGGCAGCAGCAGGCCGGCGCGGCAGGCGGCGGCGGCTGCGGCGGAGTTCGGGCGGATGCAGAGGATGAGCGCGCACGGCGGTAAGGGTACGGCCCGTGAGCAGTGGGCACAGCACGCAGCTTCCCGGCTCCTGCACGTCCCATGCCGCTGCAAGTGAAAATCAGGCCGTGCACGAGCGTCCATTGGCACCCCATACGCGTCTCGGCCACCTGCACAACCCAGACACCTCTCTTGTCAATCCACGGTTCACAGTGAGAAGTTTGAGGAGCTCTGTGCCAAAGACCGGGAAATTACGGCCTTCATGGACGCCTTCCCGGCGCGCCGTGAAGACAAGCGGCGCGAGCTGGCTGAGCGGCGGGACGCCGCAGAGGCGGCGATTGAGCGGCTGGCACGCCAGCTGGCTGCGGGCGGCGGCGTGGGCGCCGCCCCAGCGCGTGCGGCCCAGGTGGGTTGACACTCTGCGGGTTCTTCGATCTCGCGTTCGCACGGCTTGCGTGTCGCCGCTGGTGACCATCAGCTGACCACGCCTCCCACCTGCCACCTGCAGGCCGCCCGCCCTGAGCAGCAGCATGCGCCCGCCGAAGGCTCCGCCGCTGAGCTTTCTGCTCGCAGCGCTGAGCTGGCGAAGATCCAGGGGTTGGGGGCCAAGATCACAGAGGAGCTTGCCGCCTTGGACAGGCGGATTTCCGAGGCAGAGGCAGAGGCCGGGAAGCTATCCGACGTCGGCGCGGCGCGCGCGGCGGCCGAGGCCCGGCAGGCTGAGCTGGAGTCGAAGAGGGAGGAGCTGGCCAGGGGCAGGGATGCGGCAAAGGTGCGTGCTGGTTGGGGTGGGGGTGGCTGCACGGGAGCGCGCTTGTGATGACGCTGCGCCCGCCGCTGCTCCTGTATGTGCACCTCCTGGGTATCCTGCCGTGTCAGCTGACGTGTTGCTGGGCTGACGCCAGTTGTAAGGCCCTCATCAGCTCTCGCTCAGCATCCCTCACCCTCACACCCACAGGCGGCCCTTTCCGAGAAAACGCGGCGGCAAGAGGCCAAGGAGTCCGAGCTCTCGCACCACCCGGCCTGGCCGGCCGCGCGCAGGGCGGAGGAGCACCTCGCGTCCCTGCAGCAGCAGGCGGCCGCGGCACGCGCAGCGGTCGTGGCGCGGGCGGCAGAAGCAGACTGCTCTGAGCTGGCGGCGCGCGTGGCATCCTTAGTGTCAGAGGTCAACGCGCTCCTTTTGGCCAACCCGATGACGGGCTGACGTGAGCACGGGCTGGCGCTGAAAGCTGATTGGCGCAAATTTGGATTGCCTGAGCATCCCTGATGGTGAAGGGCCTGCTGGCTGACTGTTTGCATGCTTGCCGCTCTAATCCGTATTCAAACCCTTTCTGCTCCTTTGAGTGCTGCTGCGACTGCGAATGCCACGTGAGTGCTGCTGGTAGACCGGCCGCATGTAACAATGTGCAAGGATGCGTCATCATCAGGCTGGCTGCTCTAGGCGGCATACGAGCGCGCGTGCGTTGTCGGCCAGCACATGAACATGAGGACTGTTCTCTTCTTGATGGCGCTGTCAAGATGCCTGCATGCTGGCCCAGCAGGCAGCTTGGCGGGCTTCTTTACTGCACACCAAGGTAGCTGAATTCTGTATCGTGGAGTCCCCCTTGCTCAACTTCTCGTTACAACAGCTGCATGTATTCCAGCTGGGCGAGGGTGCAGCAAGGGGTGCGTGGTGGCAAGTGCTTTTCGGCAAATGATACGAGAATCAAAGACACGAGGGATGCGTGTGGACGGATGACAGGGGGGCGCACATCGTGCTGCTCGGTCGTGTGAGCGAAAGGCGTTGCCAACACCCGCAGAACTCATGCGCTCGCGCGCTTTTGGGGGGCGTGCCCCAGAACGGCGCCGCGGGAGGGCCTGATTTGATGCAGGGCGGGACGGCAAGCTGGCCAGCGCGTGCACGCACACCATGCGTGTTGCGCGTCCGCGCGTAAGCAATGAAGTTGTTGTGCAATGCAAGTTCAGGGCGCCGGATCGGGTGTTGAAGTGGAGTGGAGTGGAGTTGGGGGCCCCAGGGGTTTGGGCTTAAGGGTGTCGGTCAAGACGGTCAGCACAGCGAGCGGACAGGCGCGTGTGGCGCCTGTTTATGGATCAATAATCTTAAGTAAGTTGGGTCACGCGCCGGTCACGTGACGTGGTCAGGTCATGCGGTGACGTCATGTGGGAGGTGTCGCACTCGTGTCAGTCGCGGTCAGTCCGCGGCGCTGGGGAGACAGGCGGCAGCCGCTGCCAGGGGGCATGGGTGCTGGATGATCCAAGCAGCACGCAAGGCCGCCGGCACGTTTCATGACGAACCGAATTGCTGCGGCCCACAAATGGCGCGGATCGGCATGCTTGCCTTGCTCAGCGCCGCGCAAATGCGTCAGTTGCAAGCCGGACAAAGAGGTGTGCAGCCTGCAGCATGGCCCCGAAGCAGCGTACGCCCCGGCGCGCCCTCTCCCAATGCCCCCTCAGTGCGTCCCCAGAGAGTGGCTCCCCCAAAAAAACGCCCCCCGGCCCCCAGGCTAAACTGATTGTGAGGGACCCGCTCCAGCGACCCGAGCGAACCATGCAACAAGGCGGAATGCAGCAGCCAAAGGCGGCGGTGGGGCGTGTGCCGACGTGCATTGCAGGCTCAGGTGATGAGTGCGGAGGTGCGCCGGCCCGCATTATTCCAGGAAGCGTCGCGGCTGCTGCAAAACGAACCTCGTCGCGTGGGGTGCCCCGCCGACACCCCGACTCGTGTAAACGTGCGGATCCAAGAGCGTGCCCAGGCCTCATCAAGCTGGTGCAGTTGGCGCAGGGCCCCAGAGGAAGTGGGGGCGTGCGCTGTGGTCGACCCATGCAAGGGTTGCCGTGCAATGCGTGGCATGAGGCAGTAGTGTGCCATGGACAGCACCGGTACGCCACGAAATAGCATAATAGTTGTGTGCAGGCTGCCCGTGCTGTGGCCTTGCCCAGCAATAGTAATAACCTGGAAGTTAAGGGCAGCGGGCATGTGTTGAAACATCTCGCACCTTGCATCAGCGCATGCGGGCGCTAATGCAGGCTGGGCGGTCGCCTGGCTGCCGCGGGTCGCGCTCTTGAACGGCACGGGCGGCTGCTGCTGCTACCGCTGCTTCTGTTGCTACTGCTGCCGCTCGCCGATGCACGAGTGATGCTGCTACAGGGTGAACCATGTCCCGGCATCCACCCCTAGGAGCGCCGGCTGCTGCTGGCCATGCTGAGTCAGCACCACTGCGCCCGGCGCTGGGAGGGCGACCAGACCGGTTCCATACTCGGCATGGGCGGAGGGCAATCCGTGACCGGCGCCCGCGGGTGGACCCAAAGCCATGCTGTGCTGCTGCTGCTGCTGCTGCTGGTGCTGCTGCAGCAGGATGCTGCTGCTGCTGCTGCCGCTGCCATCGCGGAACAGACCGTGCTGGTGGGTGGGGGCTCCCAGGCCTGGAGGCATGTTCACGACATAAGCCACTCCCTGTGCCGGCGGCGCGGCAGCAACGTGCTGCATGTGTACGACCTGCTGCCCCTGCATCACCCACTCACCACCACCAACAGCTGCGGCGGCTGACGACATGTCCTGTGGGAGTGCAAAGGCTGGCCCATCGATGCGCGCGCCACTGCAGGCGGGGCTGCCGGTACCGAGCACCATATACTGGTGAGCCTGTTGCATTTGCTGCAGCTGCTGATGCTGCTGCTGCTGCTGCAGCTGATGCTGCTGCAGCTGTTGCTGCAACTGCTGCTGCTGCTGCTGCAGCTGCTGCTGCTGCTGCTGCTGCTGTTGTTGCTGCTGCTGTTGATAGTGCACGTGGGGCTGGCTGTAGAGGGGCCCCTGGTGAGGATGGTACATCCCCTGTGAGTACAGCGGAACACCTGGCTGCGTCTGCCAATGCTGCTGCTGCTGCTGCTGCTGCTGCTGCTGCTGCTGCTGCTGCTGCTGCTGCAGCTGCACAAGTGTCACCTGTGGTGCAGCCTGGCGAGGCTGCGGCTGCGGCTGCTGGGGCCGGTGGTGGTGGTGCTGCACCTGTTGCTGGGACCACTGCTGCTGCTGCTGCTGCTGCTGCTGCTGCTGCTGCTGCTGGTCCCATGGCAAAGCGTGTGGCTGCAGCATCTGAAGCTGCTGCTGTGGTTGTATCTCCCGCTGCCTTTGAGCCTGCCGCTGCTGCTGTAGCTGCTGCAGCTGCAGCTGCGGCTGCTGCTGTGAAGCCGACCCCCCAGCTTTTCGGCCGCTGCGAGACCGCCCTTGTTGGCGCTTCCCTGCGGCACCCTGGCGCCCGGGCGACTCCTGGACGCTGCCTGCAGCAGCAGCCGCCGCGGCAGCCGCTGCCGCAGCCGCCGCCTGGACCTCTGGTGCGTCAGAAACAAGTCGTTCTGGGGACAAAAGCGGCGGCGCGCGGCCATCCCCGCTGCCGCCGCCGCCCCACACCAGCGGCTGCCAGCGTGCAGCGGCGCCGCCGCGCCCGCCGCCAGCCTGATCGCCTGCCGGCGCGCCGGCGGCGCTGGGGTCGTCGGTGGGGCCGCTGCCTGGATTGTCCATGAGCTGCAGCCAGCCCACAGGGTTGTAAGAGTACCCTTGAGCCACGTTATCCAGCAAGGCGCCCAGCGGCCTGCGACAAGGCACCCAGACGCGCGCCGAAGGACGTGGGGTCTTCATAGGGCGAGGGGCGCCGCGCGGCGAAGCACGGAGGCCGAAGGCTTGCGCGGCGAGTCCGCAGCTCAAGCCACCATGGGCGCGATGGGGCGCGCGGGGAGCCAAGAAAGCTGATTTGTTCGTCAAAGCTGCGCGTGCTCAGTACCAGGCATGCACACATTCACACTGACTTACACACGACTGCGCACTCACACTCACACGCACACACACACACATGCACCTTTCCACAAAGGCACGCTCGTGCGCACACTTTTTCACACGCACCCCAAGCCCGCACGCCGGCACGAATGCACACGCGCGACGCGAAACACGCACCAAAGACGCACCTGAACCAAGCGGCCACCTCTCCACTGAGCATGTACACTGGCACCTCAGGATCGTGGCCCACCACCAGGGTGTCCCGCGGCAGGCGGCCACACAGGTGCGCGTGCAGCAGCTTGGCGCCGGTGAAAGGCCTTGGGTTAGGCGGGCAGATGCGGGGGCGCGAGGCGGCCGAGACGCGTGAGTGAGGGCCAGCGAGGGGGATACGGGCGAGGGCGGGCACGCGCTGCATTAGAGGGTGGGTGGGCGAGGAAGGCGAAGCTGCGTCCCGCACTCCTTTTCCCCTCCTGCAGCCACCAGCAGCGGGGCAAGGCATCGAGCTCGTATTAGGCAAAAGCTCACCCTCTGCACCAGCCTGAGCAGCCGCAAGATACATGCGTGATTGAACGCGTGAGGCGAGGTATTCGTCAGGGCGTGCCGAGGCGCCATGCTAAGCGCTCCACGCTTTGAAAAAGGCAGCGGCTCGACCCACTGCCCCGGCTGCAGGCCCGGCCCATTCCCCCGGCTGCGGCGACTTGGGGCTGCCCTGAAACCCACGGCACTGGGCAGTTCGGCGCGTAGTCCCGCGGGCTCTGCAGTCAGGCAGCAGCTGCTGCACGACTCACCCAGGTGGTTCACGTAGAGCCACGTCGGCTGCCGCGCGCCCGCAGCCTCCGCCGGCGTGAACAGGCGCTCGAGCGCGCCTCTCAGCGCCGCGTCTTCGCCCGCGCCCGCTCCCCCCCTCGCCCCGCCGCCCGGGGCCCCCGCTGCCCTGCCGACGCCGACGCTGCCGTCAGCGCCGGCAGGCGAAGGGGGAGCCACGTGGACCCAGCTGCTGGGGTCGCGGGCGAGGGCCGCGGAGAGGGGGATGTAGCGGCCGCCCGCGTGAACATCCAGGGCCAGCTGGCCCAGGGCCGTGTAAAACCCCAGGTCCTGCGGTTTGAAAGTTGAAGGGGTCGCAGGCAGGAGAAATTGAGGGGTCGCAGGCAGGAGGGATGACTCGGTGGGCGAGCATCGCAGGCCGCGATCCCACATATTTTTTTGATCATCACCTCGACTGCCCTCCCCCAAACACAAAACAGGCACAAACTCACTGAAACCCTTGCGCACGCTCGCGCGCGTGCGCACATACACAAACACACACGCCCGCACGCGCGCGTGCGCAAACCCACCGCACCTGCCGCAGGAGGTAAGGCAGGTCCCGGTCAATGCCCAGCACCAGCTGGCGGCCCGAGAGGGTGCCCCTCTTGCAGAACTCCATCATTTTGTCTGCGGTGTAGCTACCCTTAATCTTGCTCTGTATTTGCATGTGTTAGATGTGTGTGCGTGTGAGTGTGTGTGTGTGTGTGCATGTGAGTGCGCGTGTGCATACCACATGTGTGTGCGTGTGCCGCTTGCAAGCGTGTGTGCATGCATTTGTGCACGCGTGATCGTGCATGTGGGCATGTGTGTGTGTGCATGAGCTGGCATGCTTGGGGTTGTCTCACATCCTTGGGAATGCTTTGCTTGGTATCGGCCAACACCCCGCTGTAGCTGGGCAGCTGTTGTGCTGCCTCCCTCGCCTGCACGTGGGCCAGCTGCCCTAGCGTCAAAACGCGTAATCACCGCCCCCCGCACCTGCAGGTTGACGACCATCCACACCGGCTGCTTGAACTCCTGCTGTGTATCCGCCGTGAACAGCCGCTCCATAGACTCCAGGCTCACCCCTAGCTCCCGCACCAGTGGCGGCGCCTCGTCCTCCGCACCACCGACGGGGGCGGCGCCGCCGCCGCTCTCGCCCTGCGCCTCGCCGCGCGCCGCCGCCGCGGCGGCCGGCGCGCCTCCTGTGATTGACGCGGCGGCGGCGGCCGAGGTCGAGGCGTCGCTGCGGCCTGACCGCTCCAAGCGCTGCGGCGTGCTGGCGGCCTCGTCGCCGCCCCTGGCTGCCGCGTGCGTGGCTGCGCTCGCGGCCGCGGTCACGCGGCCTGCCGCGGAGAGGAATGCGTGCAGCGGCTGCAGCCCGCTGCTGCCGCCGCCGCCCTCGTCGCCACGACCTCCGCCAAGCAGCACCTGCAGCGGGGCAGCGCCGCCTGGTTGCAGATGCGCCGGCAGCCCAGGGCCACGCAGGCCCAGCGCCGGCAGTGCAGAGGCGGCGGCCGTGCCCTCGAACATGGCCGCGGCGCCGGCAGCGCCGCCGCTGCCCGCTATCGCTTCCAGCTGTTGCTGCAGCTGCATCAGCAGCTTCTCCTCTGCGGGTCCACTGGTGGTACGTGTCAGGAGGCTCGACAGCGCGGCAAGCGACAGCGCCTGTGGGGGGCTGGATCCCATCAAGCTGTCGCTGCTGCGGCCGGCGAGCGCCGCTGCGGGCGGGGCGGCGCCCGTGCCCGTGCTGAAGCTGCTTGCCCAGCTGCTGCCGCTCGGCTGGCGCAGATCTGCATCTGCTGCGGCTCCAGCAAAAGCGCCGAGGGGCAGGAGCTTCCTTGCCAGATCATCCTCCCCTGACATTGGTGCCCTGCTGGCGCCGCCCCCGGGGCCGCTCAGCAGTCGCTATCCTGCCCCGGCCCGCCGGGCGCAGCGGGCAGCCGGTAGCCCAAGTGCAAACTGCCCACGTCTACGGGAGGCTGCACAGCGGTCTCTTTGGGCTTGCACCAGGTGACCCCTGACGGCGCGTGTTGGTCGGCCGCTCCGCTGTGCTGCGTCACACAGGCGCGCGCCGCACTGCGCGTTGGGCGTGCGACGCAAGGTCCAGAGCAACGGGTGAACAGAATGGCGACGAAAGCAAAGCCCTGCGTTGCCGTTCGCCCTTGCTGTAGCAGGCTGACGCTCGGCCTGTGTTGTAACAATCAGACCTGGAGTGCTGGACGGACGCCGTGAAAACGCGCGGTGATATATGAGTGTCTTGAACGCTGTTTGGAAAACGCACCGCGCGAGCAGCTTCACAGCTCAAACTCCGCTTGACAACGTGCCGGAGGTTCAGGATGTGAAGTGTTCTGCTCACTGTCGCGGGTGGACAGCTTGCGCGCCCGAAATCGCGGTGTTATGCAGGTTACAGAGACAGCAGGCAGCAGCGTGCGCGGTGCTGGTTGCTGGATTACGGCGTGGGTGACATGAGGGTTGTGGCTGGCGATGCACTGGAAGTGAGGGGGCCTTGTCCAGGGAGCGCGTCCGAAGTGTCCGCGAGGCCGGACGCATGGAAGATAAGGCTCCTCTTGACCCTTCCACTCGGCGCTGTCAACCATCATCGCAACCTGCGCCCTGCACCTGTACCCTGCCGTTTTGTAGGGGCGATTGGGCGTGCTCAACTAACGCCCTGCACCAGCCCCGGCACATGTGACCGCCGGCCGCATGATGAGCTCCTCCTAGTGCATCAGTGCTAGTAAGGTCTACATCTACCTGCTGCCTCCATTTGCAAGCGGCCGGCTGGCAGGATGAGGACTGAACGATGCAGGGCACATCGGTCAGCGGAGCGGCTCTGTTATCTCTACTCAGTGCTCAACAACATGCTTGCACTGCCAGATTTGGTGGAGTGTCTGACGAGAAAGCACGTGCTTCATGTCCCCGCTGCCTGCCGCAGCGTCACATCTCAATTGGCACATACGTGATTTACCTGCGTGTGGGTCCAGGCTCACACTAGCGCAGTTTTAAGACTCACTGTGTGAGGTCTTGCCTGACTGTGTGGCTTGTTGGCTGACCTCTTGGTCCAGCAGGTTGGAATCATGAGCCCGGCGAGCCTCCTGCTCATGAGATGCTGAACTTGCAGCATTGACTACCGTACGGTGCACACACCGTTGACCCATCCGCTGTGAGGTGTCTGACAAGTCGGTTTTCCAGCCAAGCCGAAGTTTGTATTACCTGTAGGTTTCGTATTCTATGCTTGTCCACGAAATTCGCTGATGCAGCACGGCACCACCCTCGCGATCTCTGCTTCGCGAGTGGTATGTAGGGTTGTCCAGGGGAGTGTGAGCATGTTGGTGTCTCCTTATCAAGTTGATCATCTCACCTTGTCGTCTGGGTGCTGATACAGGTTGCGCACTCGTGCTGCGATGGCGACTGCAGCGATCGCTGCACCCACTGGGAGCTGCAGCTTGGTGTGGGCACCCCACACGAGGCCGCAATCTTTGAGGTGGTGGCCGCAGCCGAGCCTCTCGATGAAGAGGTGCGCGAGAGAATAGGGCACCGTGAGCTTCAACCACCAGCCAAGGCTGCTCAGCAGTGCACATATGAGTGGCGCCTGCCCAGATTCCCCCTCACCCCCACCCTCATGTAACCGCCCGACCAGCCGCAACTCCAACCGTGCGCTGATCGCCGCGACACCGGCCGCTCGCCCCACCAGGGCGCGCCCATATTCTTCGGCCTGCGCTGCGCCGCGGCGGGCGGGCGCTTTCTGCAGGCCCGCCGGCGGGCGTGGCAGCCGCTGCCGCTGGCGTCGGCGCGCCTCGGCGTCTGGGAGCATTGGCAGGTGCGCGGCTGTTGGCTGCATACAAAGGTATCTGCACACCCCGTAGCTTGGAGGGCAGGACGCTCTTGACGGGTGCAGGGCGCGGCTCCCAGGGCTCAGCGGCAACCGCCTACGCTTGCACTCGCATTGGCGCGGCTTTCGCGGCAGACAGCCCACCAGCACCTATACACTGTCCCTCCGTTTGCGGCATGCTCGTGTGCACGTCTCTGTTTGGATGATCGATTATTGCATGACTCGTCATGGACCGTCAGGTTGTATGGAATGTGGGCCTACGCGAAGCAGACGCCCTGCAAGCAGGAGCAGGAGCAGCAGCTGTCGTCTTTCTGGTGCCCAGGATGTGAGCTCAACCTGAGGCGCGCTCTCGCGCCGCCCCGCCTACACGGCTGCGCGCACTCTTGCCTGGCTGCAAGGCATGATGTGGACTCCTCACCATGGCAAGCCCATGCGCCGTGCGAACCCCCTGCGACGCCACGCCCTGCCGCGGCGAAACAGGGCGCCCTGGCTACTTTTGCCCCTTCGCATGCGAATTGTGGGCCGGTGGATCGCGCTGCCGCCTCAGCGTGGCCCTCAGCCGGCGGCCGGGTGGGGCGGCCCTGCACAGCAGGCGCCCTGCGTGCCCGACAACACCGCTGCCCTGGATCGCCGGCACGAGCGCGCCCTCCAACTTGCAGACTCGCTGCAGCGCGCCTTTTCGCGCCGCATGCTGCTGCTGCCGCTCTCCCGCGCGCTCGCCGCATGGCGCCTTGCGGCGGGAGACGGCGCCGCCCGGCGCGCGGCGGCCGCAGAGGCGGTGGCGCGCGCGGCGCTTGCGCGGTGGTGGGGGCGGTGGCGCGCAGGCGTGGAGCGGCAGCGGATTGGGGCCCAAAGCAGGTGTGCATGTGTGTCGTCAACTTGTTTGATGGGCAATGAACATCGTCAAGCGTGTGCAACAAGCTGGAGGAGATTGTTTGTGATACAAGTAACTATTGGCAACACGTTCCCCCGTGTTCCCTTCCGTTACTGCCGTACGCTCAGGTCGCGTGCCGAGCAGCTGCGCTCGTGCCGCGCGCGGCGCCGTGCTTTGCTCTTGTTTCAGGCATGGCGGGCGCACGCATTAAGATGGCGGCGGCTGCGGGCGTCCCTCAGCGCCTGCCAACAGGCGTCTGCCCAGCGCCTGGGGCGGCGCGCGATGCTCGGCTGGCTGGCAGCGGCGCGGGACCAGGCGCAGCGGCAGCGGGAGTCGGCAGCGGCGGCGCTGTGCCACCGGCGGTCCTGGCGCGCGCACGGGCGGCGGGCTGCTCGGGCGCGGCTGCTGCGGTTGCCTATGGCGGCTGGGCGCCATGCAGCCGCAGGGGCCATGCAGTGTGCTCTGTCGGCTCACCCGTTGTCACCCGCGGAGGGCGCGCTGCTTTGCCGGCGAGCGCGACTCGGCGGCGCAGCTGCGTTACGACTTCCGGCGTCAGGCGGCCGCGAGGGCGGCGCGCCACGGGGCGGCGCGGAGCTTGCAGGCTTGGAGGGAGAGCCGCGGGCGGCCGCAGCCGGCGGCCCCGCGCTGCGCGCGTGTGCGGTTGCAGACGCAGCGGCCCTTGCACCTCCAGGTTTGGCCGGCATGTTTCGCACAGTTGGGGGCGATCCGGCGCTCGGCGGTGCGGAGCAGCCAGCTTGGATAGACGCGCCTTTGCACGACCGGCAGGGGGCAGCAGCACCCGCAGAGAGGCGCGCAGCCGCTGCCACAGCTGTGCAGGCCGCCCCCGCGCCTTCATTGAGCGCAGATGACACTCATTCCTCCAAAATGCAATACGCGTCTACTGTCAAGACTTCTGCCATGCGGAAAGCCGCCAGAAAGAGCTTATCGCCAGCGGGTGCACGAGCATGCAGTCTTCAAAATGTCCCAGCACCTGCGGCGGCTGCAGAGAGGTTGGCGGCGGCGGCGGCGGCGGCGCTGGCGCATGCACTTGCGCGGCCAATAGAGGCCACCGCTTTGGTGGGGATTGCAGCTGGAACCGCCGCGAGCGAACAAACGGAGGCGCCACGCCAGGCCCGGGACGCCCGCCATGCTGCAAAGCTGGCCGCTTTGGACGCGTCTTCAGCGTCCGTCCCGCCAGCTGCTGCTGCCAAGTTTGAAGCGGCGGCACGGGCGCGCGGTCCGGACATGGCTGTCGTGCCGGTGCCATGGGCAGCAGCGGCAATTGACACTTCCTGCTTCGCAGCGCCGGCGCAGCGAGCAGGTGGTCTGCGCCGGCGACATCTGCGGGTCGCAGCAGCAGTGGGCGGCGGCGGTCGGGATAGGGCAGGTGATGATGGTGGAACAGCCGACGCAGCGTCGTCTGAGCCGCGGACGGCGGTTGCGCGGCGTGCGCATGTGAGCAGTCGGCGGGCGGCGAGCGGCTTGGTGTTACGCCGGCCAAGAAAATTGTCGGTGCAGCGGCAGCAGCGCCTGCGACGCCTGCCGCCACCGCAACCACCACCGCTGCAGCACCCGCAGCCTCCACAGCTGCACTCGCAGCAACGACTTCTGCAGTCTGACAACCGCCAGCAGCCGGAACTGCTGCAGCCGGCGCTGTTGGGAGAGCATGAGCAGCCCCCCACGCAGGGGTTGCTGCTCGATGTTCCACGGCAGGCGAGCGCACTTGCAGCCATCTGCTTCCAGCAATGGCACGCCGCATTGCAGCAGACCCGGTTGGCAGAGCAGTCGCTCGAGCACTCGGCCGCACGTCGCTCACGGCGCCTTGCCGCCCGCTGCTTTGACGCCTGGCGAGCGGCCGCCGGCGAAGCGGCGCGGCTGCGGGCGCGGCGGGCCGAGGTCGACCGCGCCAGCCGGGCGCGGCGGCTCGCGGCGGCGCTGCATCGTTGGCATGCGCTGTGCCGAGGCCGGCGTCACGCGCGGGCACGGGTAGATTCCTTGCAAAGCTGCCACACGCGGCGGCGCCTGGCTGCAGCGCTTGCAGCTTGGCGGTGCGAGGCGCGCTGGCGGCGGCGGCGGCGATCGGCGGTGGCGCGGCTTCAGCGCGCGGCGGCGACGCGGTTGCTGCGGCGCTGCGCGGCGGCGTGGGCGGCGCGCGTGGCG